TGCTTACTGCTTCGTGTAACTTTTGTGACAATTAGATCAAGTGTACCAGGAGTGCCCTGTGTCTGCCACACAGTCATTTGTAGTTTGTAATATGTTACTTCCTTGTGGCCTTCAACTCTTCGTCACTCAAGTGTCCCCTTTAAAACACACTGGAATAACCTTTCTAAGGAATTCTCAAGTGATGCTTGGCTGGTAACAAAAGGGTTAGAGGTTCAGTTCCCCTCAGAGATAACTTCAGAAGGAAAGTCTTAAGATTTACAATTAGCTATTGAAAACTTTGTGGAGCTCAGTTGTATTCTGACACACATGGGGCCACTTCTTGGGCTGGATGGGACTTGATGGCAACTGGTTTACTCTCTCCAAGGGGGCAGTGATGATTCAGGGATTGAATTATCCCCTTCCATTTTGAAGACCACAGTTCTATTCCTCACTAATGTATTTCACATGCAGCCACCACCCATCTGTCAGCAGGCTTGAATGTTGCTGTTCTCCTGAGTAGGTTTCAGCAGAGGTCCTAAGTCAGATAGGCAAGGAAGTGGAGTCAGTAATCTACTGAAAAGCCGCCAGCAAAATCCCTGTGATTTATGACAGTTCTCAACCGATTGCGAGGGTAATGCAGGACTGGGCAGTGAGGATTACATCCTAACTGGACAGCAGGTGACAATGACTGTGTTGTTTTGTTTAAATGCTGATTATCTTATTGGTATATTAAAGAGAGGTTTCTGATTGCTGTGTTCCAGTGTCAAGGTTTTTTGAAAGGCCATCTTCTTGTCATGTGATGTCTGCTACTAAATCTCAGATTACCAGGGTGGTTGCCTTTGGGGTCTTTCTCCTAGATGGTGGTGGTCTCTTATGCCTTCCAGGAGGAGATGAAGGAGGAGCGTGCCGATGACCCCTTGGTGGAGGTGACCCTTGCTCAATGACACTGTTTTTAAACACCAAACTGTTCTAGTTTTCTTCACTCCTTCTAGGAATAAGTTAGCACATTTAAGGTTGGCAAACCAGGCCTTTCCCAGGCTGCACTTGTCCTCTTTCTGCAACCTCACTTCTCATTCCTTCTCGTCCAGACATGAGACACTGCTCTCTCACCACTCTGAGTATTACAACCTCTTTACAGCCCCAAGACATTAGACTGGCTGTTGTGTTGACTTCCAAATCTTCCCCACTCTTCAGCTGACTCATCCACTCACACTGTGCACCCGTGCGGCCTGGCTCCCATTGATGAGAGTTGTTGTCTTCTTTCTCTGTGTAGCTTTGTAACAGAATTTCTCAAATTGTAATTTACCTGCTTATGTTTGTACCTTCCTTTAAACAACACCCTCCTTGAGGGAAGGATGTGTGTTCTGGTCATCATTGCACCCTAGTGTCCAGTGTGGTAGGAAGATTGGCCTTTGGTAGTCATTTTAATTCATGTTGAATGGAGAATGAAGAGCTCTGGAGAGAGTTCCAAAGAGAACTTGCTGATATGGTTTCAGGTGTCATCCTATCAGGAATAAGGAAGGACAAAGCCTCCCAAGTGATCTCTCTTGAAAGGGAAGCATTAATATTAATGTAGGTGTTTAATTTCTCATATGCTTATAAAGAATTCCTTCCAATTGATTTGTTGACACCTGGAAGGAAAAGCAATAGACCCCCACTGCTCCATGGGATAAAATATCTGACATCCCTGTAATCAGATCTGAACACACCAGGCTGCTCTCTTCTCAAACCTTCTTCTCAGAAATTTGAGTCCCATCTGTTGAGGGAGCATGGCACAGGCTGGAGGCAGATGGCATCTTGGAGGTGTCATTTGCAGTTGTCATAGTGAATGAGCAAAAATGAAAGACAAGAAAGGAAGCCTTCATGTCAGTATCTCCATGCTTATCTCTGCTTGGGTAGCACAAGGGCCCAGAGTGAGAAGGAAATTTGCTTTTCTGGCAAGTAACATAGACGAAGGGTGTTTCCTGGGGCAGGTGCAAAGTTGGTATCAGAGAGATGTGTAAGTAAACAAGAGAACCTAGAGTCAAAGGCTTTAAAGGGCAGTAGAGAGGGAAGGGACCAGGAATCCTTGGGGCTTGTTCAAGCTAGTGAAGTACAGATGCCAACACCATTATTATGGGTCCTGAGGAGGTGCATCTGAGGAGGTTCTTTGCATCTCTTCGAGTACTTATGTAATAATAGGAGCATTTTATTTTAAATTATCTGTCCTTTGGGGAGGAAATGTGAATATAGAGGCCCAGGGATGCTTTAGACAATCTGAGGTGATCCTCTGGCATCTCTCCAAGAGTATTCATGCTTTTCTTTCTCTGTCTCCATTTGTTCTCACTTATGGATAACTGGCAGAGCCTTACTCAAGACTGGGTAAAGTGAGACACATACCCTTGTAAAGCTTTAGTAAAGATGCAAAATTTCCTAGGGAGAAAGTGATCCATATATCAGGTCAGACCACAGGCAGCACTGGTTTTCAGGACAGGACAAGTGAGGTGGTCCTACAATGAGGCTATTCCTTGGAAAGGGGCATCATGCTGGGAAAGATAGAGGGTCATCGAAGAGAGGAAGACTCCCAATGAGATAGAATGGCATGGTGACTTCAGCAATGAGTTCTAGTGTGTCAGAGATGCTAAGAACGGCACAGGATAGGATCGGTTCAGTTTGGCTGTTCATAGGGTCACTATGAATCATACTTGACTTAATGGCATCTAAGAACAACAACACCACCACCACCACAGCTGCTTCAAAGGCAGCTTCCTTTCCCGAGTGGAGACTGAGAAGAGACTTGAAGGAGAGAAAGTACCTATGCTGATGTGTAATTTTGTGAGGTGGAGAATTATCTTCCCCACTTTTCTTGGTGAGTGTCTCGCTTTGAATTTTTTAGAAAACAGACTGTTAATGCTTCTTATACAATTTTGAATAAAGTCTCAGGGAGCAGAAGTGAAGAGCAAGGTTCACAAGGCAGAGAAGGAAGGAGACCAGTACAAGGATACAGTAAAGCACACGTCCCCACTAGGTGCAGCAGATTGCTTCATCTGTAGGCAGTGCCTGGAGGAGCTGTGGAAATGACATAGTTGTGGGACTGAACTGAATTTCCAAGGAAAGGGAAAGAGAAAGGGTTTATCTACTAGCTCTTGCCACTTGTGGGTATGAAATCCCCAACACTTCCTTGTTTGAAATGGGTGTTCAGCAGAAGCCCTAGCCTAGAAGGAAGGACACGATCATGTTGGTAGAGCCCATGCAGAGCTTGTAGATTTGGAAGCATCCATAAGAAGTGCCTGGTTCATTGGAGAAGCTTGAATTTGGGCTGAGGAATACTCCTGTTTGTTGAAGTGAGGATTCCCTTCCTCAGGGACAGCAGGAGGGTGACTGCTAACAGCTTTATTCTTTTTGGTGCTATTGCAAATGGAAGTGGGTTAATTTTTGTTGTTGTTTTTAATGAATTTTAACGAAAGTTTACAAGAGATTTAGGGTTTCCAGTCATTCATTGTTGCACTTTTCTCCCTACTCATCCCCTCCCCCCCTAATTCACTCTTTTCCTTGAAAAGAAAGAAAAACTCTTTCATTGTTATGCAATCCCTCCCCTCAAGTCCACTCCACTATGCAGCCTTCACTCTGGAATACTGTAATGACAAGAATACACATTCATATATCCCGTTTAAACAGTTCTCTCCCTCGTCTGTCAATATACATCATTCCTCCCCTCCTTTTCTGTCTTCCTTCAACCCTGATATCAGTCCTGTTTCACAACAGTGACCCTATGCAATATTTGTCCTTTTGTGACCTAGATATTTCACTCAGCATAATGTCCTTCTGGGCTGGAAGTGTTTTCTTAATTACTTTTTTTTGTTACTCATTGCTTGTGTATAGAATACAGTTAATTTTTCCGTGGATTGATCTTTGTAACCTTGCTGATTAGTGTTTTTTGCAAATGCCTTAAAGTCTTTCATATATGAGATCATACATATGCAAATACAGATTGTTTTACTTATCTGTAGATACTTTTATCTTAAAGAAATAAAAAGTTAATTCTGCTCCCTTTCCTACATAAATATCTTTCTAGGTGGTTAACTGGGCCCATTGGAAAGACGTCAAGGAACAAAGGCAATTTCTCCGAAGTTCATGACATAGAACAAAGAGAACCTGTTTAGGTGTTTGGTTAATGTGGTTGATTGCTAACCAAAAGGTTTGAGGCTCTAGTCTGCCCAAAGGTACCTTGGAAGGAAGGGCTGGTGAATGAGTTCCGGAGGAAAAAAACAATAATCAGCCATTGAAAACCCTATGCAGCACAACTCTACACATGAGATTGCCAAGATTCAGAATCAACTCTTTACTGCTTATCAATCTTAATGTGCAGAATGTTTAAAAGGAATAGAATAGGCCCAAGAAATTACTGTCTTCCTGAGGGATCAGGATTAAGTAGCTTTGGGTAGTGGAGTTGCAGATGTGTTCAGTAGCCTTTTGGATTATTTTGTTTACTTGTTTACTTTGTTTATTTGTTTACTTGTTTCTGAGGAATGGAAATGTCTGGTGATTCATGCCATTTCCCTTCTTGGGACTGACAATGACCTGAAAGTAAGAATGTTCCATCAGCTGGTTGGGGTGACAAGGGGTAAACTGATCTTACCTCGGCAGCTGTATGGAAGATTCAGATCTCAGCTCTATGCCCTCTTTCCATGACACCTGAGTAGAACACCACTGGCATCCAGTGGCCTGTCAGACTAATCACAGGTTGGAATTCTTACTCATATGTAAGCTGGCATTTCCCCTTTTCCTTGAAGTCAGATAATAGGCCAGGTTTATTTGTAAAGAAGAGAATTTGAGTGAATGGCCTGGGGCAGCTTGAGTCACCTGATAAGGTAATGTGGATGAGAGCATGACTGGTGACCAGCAGAGATGTTATCTGTGCAGATTCACCAAGCATGCACTCCAACAGTGCCCTCTATTAGGTTTTTTCCAAAGCCTCTGCACTAGTGGTTGTTTTTCTGGTTTTTTGTTTTGTGAATAGATTATCTCTTTTTCTATTTTAGAAATAATCACGGAAATTAGTGATGTATTAGTATTTAATAACACTTGCATGAGGTGGAAAATAAACCCAAGAAGAATGAATGCCAAGACTGTGTATGTGGTAAGTAAAGTGACCTGTTTTCAGAAATGATAACCGCTGAGAATACCAGTTGGAGGGGCTTACTTCTGTAAGTTTCTCAATCTAGTTGCTTTCCAATCCCATTGCTATTTCAGTAAGTGAATGGAATTTTTAAGCTATTGGCATAATTTTCGTATTTTGTCTTTACTGAATTTGTCATTTGACAGGATGTCAGTGTGGGGGATGCATCTATCTCTGGTATCATTATTGCTTGTTTCCAAGCACTTGTATTTCAGCCTGGGAACATCTGCTGACTTGGTGACAGTGCAGCGAGTGGTCCTTGGGTTGGGGCCATCTCCACTGATGGATGGTCATTCATGTGTGGGATAGTGTTCCTAGAGAGGAACCTTATTTATGTCACTTGTTGGGGTTTGTTGATTTCTGGTCAGGTCAGATACCCGATAAAAGGCTTATCTTGTTTTTCCTACCTGGTTGAAGAGAGGAGCACCTGGTGGTGTAGTGGGTAAAATGAGTGGCTGCTAACCTCCTGTTGGCAGTTTGCTCCATAGTATCGGTTTATTTCTATAAAGATTTATTGCCCAGCACACCCCTGGGACAGATGTACCCTGCCCGATAGGATTACTGTGAGTCAGAATGGACTTGATGGCAGTATTGAATTTATTTGTATATTTTGGTTGAGGAGTGTGGTATAAAATGCAAGAGTAAGATCCTGTAGCACAAAGCTGTCTCTCAGTTGTTGTAACTGGAATCATGTTGAGTTTACTTGTCTTTTCCCCTCATCAAGATATCCTTTAAAGGGCAACGGTTGGACACTGTGGAATCAGTGCACCAGAAGACAGTCAACTTGACTTCTGACAGCAGGACCCCAGAAATGTGCCTAAACCTGTATCAAGGCACCAATTACACTGTGAGCATTTCTACTGCCCCTCCTGGACGCTCTGTGCCAGCCTTCATTGTGTTCCAAACAGCTGGTAAGTGGAGGTGAAATTTCATTACCTCTGAGAAAATGCTAAGTACAGGATATGGGGAAATGTACTTCAGAATCAACCACGCAGAGTAATTTGTGTCTGTTTCCTGAGATAGGTAGCCAGTGGGGTGCAGTCGTTCCAAAGGTCAGAACAAGACCTGGACTTTGTTGTTGTTGTTGTTAGTTGCCATCAAGTTGTCTGTGACTCATAGTGACCCTCTGAACAACAGATCGGAACCTTGCTCTGTCCTGCTCCGTCCTCCTGATTTCCACAATGCCTGACCTGAACTAGCCGCAGAAATTCCCATCCTGTTTGCTGTAAGATTAAATGAACACATAAGTCTTATTTCTATATAAGTCTGATAATTGACATTAAAGTAAGAAAGTGCCCTTTAGAAGAGGATTAGTTACTAATGCCATGAATTCTTAAATGTACAAGGTAACCATGTGGCTTATGTTTGGTGGTCATTTCTGACCTTTACTTAAGAGACAAGAAGAGTCAGAGAACTGGTTCAGAACCTTTACCTAGAACTGATTGAGGTGGAAACTCCAGTAGAGAATAGATGAGTAGATGGGGTAAGAGACCTCGAATATGGGAGGGTGCTATGGGATGCAATGAGAAATGAACAAGGAGAAACTTAAAAAAATATAGGAATATACCTTATTACACATTGTTGTCACCTAGATTTTAAAAAAAAATAATTCTGATTATAGACAATCAGAACTAATTAAATATTTATAAGTAAACCTTGAGAAACTATTAGTATCATTTATTATTTTGTAGGAGTTGAGGTAGTTCTCAACTTATTTTTTGATGTCCCTTGGAAGAAAATGTACCTAATACAGTAAAGTATTATTGCCATGGAGAATGGATTTGGAAGATAATTGAAAAATTGACCAGTCCTAACAATATAAAGCCAACTATGAATTTGCACAAATTAGGGACTCCAACAACTAGTCTATGGTGAAAAGATGGGCGATCTCCTCTGATGCGATTTATTGCCTCTGAAAACCTGCTGGAGGGTCAGCCATGAGTTGGTTTTGACTCAGTGGTACCCAACAACAATAACAGGAAAAAAGCATGTTAGAATCAGGCTTGGTTTTCATCTTAACTATGCACAGAAGAGTTGGATGACCAATTAAGTTATTTATATGTTTTTTAAAATTTTTATTGTGCTTTTAATGAAAGTTTACAGAAAGGTTGGGTTTTTATTCATTCATTGTTGCACATTCACCTAAGCTATTTTTTTTCCACCTAAGCTATTTAATATCCCTGGACTGCTTTCCTTTTTCTGGAATTTGAATGGCTTTTGATTAAATTTGGAAGTTAATACAGAGAAAAATTGGGATTTATAATCAGTTGAATAGGTTTATTTCTACATTTAATCCATAGCTACTTAAATCTTGTCTTTCCTCTGTTTTCATTAAATAATGAAAAATTGTAATGGCTCATCACTGTCTTCCTCTAGACCCAGCACATTTAGTTTTCCTTTTTCTACATTTTTTACATTTAATTTTCTAAACTTATATCTGAGTTATGGCAGTGCTCTTAAAATGAACCTGAAATTTCTTTTATATACATATATACATACTTGGACCAAGAGGCAGTCATCAGAACAGAGCAGGGAGACGCTGGATGGTTCAAAATCAAGAAAGGGGTCCATCAGGGATGTATTTTTTTCCCCATATTTTTTCAATCTGTATGCAGAACAGATCATCTGAGACACTGGGCTGTACAAGGGGGAATGTGGCATCAGGATTTGTGGAAGAATCATCAACAACCTGCATTCTGCAGATGACACAACCCTGTTTGCTGAAACTGAAGAGGACCTGAAGCACTTGCTGCAGAAGGTCAAGGACTGCAGCCTTCAATATGGATTGAGGCTCAATATCAAGAAAACAAAGATTCTCACCACTGGGCAAATTGGCAGCATCAATATGGATGGTGAAGAGATTGAGATAGTTAACAGTTTTAGTTTACTTGGTTTCACAGTCAACACTCTTGGTAAAAGCAGCCAGGAGATCAGGAGATGTATTACATTGGGAAAGTCAGCTGTGAGGGACCTCTCAAGAGTACTGAAGAGCAATGACGTCAGGCTGGAGACTAAGATGTCCCTGATCCAGGCTATAGTCTTTGCAATTATGTGCTATGCATCAGAGAGTTGGACGGTGAATAGGGATGATAGAAAGAGAATTGATGCCTTTGAGTTGTGGTGCTGGAGAAGAGTGTTGAATATACCATGGACTGCTAGGAGAACAAACAGGTTTGTCCTGGAGAGGGTGAAGCCAGAATGTTCCCTGGAGTCAAGGATTCTGAAGCTTCATCTCACATACTTTGGGCATGTTGCAAGGAGGGACTGGTCCTTGGAGAGGGACATCATGTTTGGGAGAGTGGAGGGATGGTGCAGGAGAGGAAGATCCTCGATGAGATGGATCAGTTCTGTGAGTGGAGTGGTGGGAATGAATGTGTTTGAGACAGCAAGGTTGTCACAGGATAGAACAGTGGTTAGGGCTGTTGTACATAGGGTCGCTATGAGTCGCAAATGACTCAATGGCACATAACAACAACAACAACAATATAAATATATGTATGCAATTATTTGACTCGACGACATTGAACAACACAGACAGAGACCAGTTGACCTAGGAGACTGAAAGCGATGCGACCAAACCAAAGGTGGGTGACTCTATCTGCAGCCCTCAGGCCTGTTTTTCATTGGTTTTGCTCAGTCTTCTAGGTCATATAGCCCTGGTGTGTCCATTTGCCATACAGGGGCAACTTGTGGTCACTGTGAAGCTGAACAGTTTGACACTGATGTGTTAAATGCAATACCAGTTACCCATGGTGGACAGTGTTTAGTGATGCTCCCCAGTTGAAACAAGCTTGGAAGCAGGAGTGCCATCCACTTCCATAAATAGCTTGCCTTCAGAAACCCTATGAACATGGAGAAAAGATGAAAAGTAGTTCATGCAAGTGTTGAGGACTTTCGTTCATGGGGTTACTATGAGTTGCCTACGACTTGACAGCACTCAGTGACAACAACAACAATTATTGTGTTCAGTGACAGGGTTAATGGGGATAGGTATGCCAGAGATAATAACGTTGGCACAGGACAGAGCAGGGTTTAGAGCTGTTGTATATAGGGTTGCTATAAGTTGCAAGAGTGTTGAGTAGGAACTGACTCAGCTGATTCTCCAATGGGTTTTCAGAGGCAGTAAATCACATGCATTTTAATACTTTTTCCCTTGGGGCAGGTGGCAGATTCAAATGGAGTGCCTTTGCCTTTACAGTGAATTCCTTACCACTAGGCCACCAGTCTGTTTGAGTGTGTGTGTGTGTGTGTGTGTGTGTACACAAATATTTTGTTGTTATGTGTCATTGAGTTCAGAACGATTCGTAGTGCCCCTTTGAACAACAGATCTGAACCTTGACCTATCCTGTGTCATTCTCATTATGCCTGACATACTTGAGCCCACTGAAGCAGTCTCTGTGTCAGTCCGTCTTGCCTTCCTCTCTTTTGCTGACCCTCCTCCCTTCCAAGCATAATGCCCCTTTCCAAGGAGTAGCCCTTTCTAACAACATGCCCCGAAGTATGTGAGATGAAGCTTTGGTATTCTTGCCTCCAAGGAGCATGCTATCTGCACCTTCTCCAAGAGAGAATCTATTTGTTTTTTTGTCCGTGGGATATTTTGTACTTTTCTCCAATATTACAACTATAGGTACAGATTTTTCTGTAATCCTTATTCATTGTTTAGCTCCCAGATGCATAGCTAGTAATGGAAAAGATGAATCAGACGAACCTTGGTCCTTAAACATCATTGCTTCTCAGTTCTTTGTAAAGGTCTCTGTCTTTTCCATAGCAACACATCTTTTTAATTCTTGACTTTTGGTATCAAAGATACTGATTGTGGATCCCAACAAGACAAAATCATTGACAGTTTTACACTTTTCTGTATTTATCATGATGTTGCTTATTGGCTCAGTGGTGAGGATTTTTTTTTAAAGCTAAAGAAGATTTATTAAGGGGTCTCCTGGGCAGGATTTCTTGGTCTGCAGAGAGAGAAATAGGCAGAAGGGCAGACCAGTGAAATACTGCCAGTGGTGAGGATTTTTATTTTCTTGATGTTGAGATGTAATCTGTATTGAAGGCTGTGGTCTTTTATAATCTGTAGCAAGTGTTTCACTTTCAGCAACAAGATTGTGTCATCTGCTTAATGCAGGTTGTTGATGAGTTTTCCTCCTCTCCTGATG